TTCTGACTGCAAGTTCTTCTGACTCCTGAGTTCTGACTGCAAGGCACCAGAGCTCAAAATAAAGTCAGCATTTTGTTTTCCTAAAGCACTCACAGGATATGTTCTTATTATGATAGAATTTGATAATCTTTTGAAATTAACTGCTGTAGATATTTGACAAGCACAGCTAAGAAGTTTCAAATAAAAGTATTAAGAGATTTTCTGTTTTGTAAAAAGAGTAATTTTTTCACAATGAATGCACTCACAGTTGATACAAACACAGCAGTAATTATCCTGTGACCAACTAAAATCCATACTGATTTTCAGCCTGTCATGTCTATGTCACCTGAAGAAATTAAAAACATTTGTAGCATTTTTGCTTTGGCTAATTCATTTACGTGGCAGAAGTGGGGCAATGAAAACATCATCTGTTAAACTCTGTGATCTTCTGAATTGATAAATCTTGTCTTCTGTACCTGAGTCCTGTCTTTTCGGACACTGTTGCTTTCTGGTGACAACCGCTGTCGTATCTTCTCAGTATTGTTCTCTTTATTCCTCTGTGTCCTTTCCCCTGTGATAAATGAATTTATGTGAAACACTGGGTTGTTTATTTAATGGTTGGAAAGCCTAATAAAACATTGCCAGTGAGTAAGGTGAGAATGTAATTAGAACTCAAAGTGAATTGATCCCCGATGAGGAAGTTTGCTCATCGTAGCCAGAGGATAGATGCACATTGCAATGACAAAGGAATTTCCATTTTCGATTAATGGTGTAGGAGTTAACAATCTGGAAGAACAAAGTGGATATTGGACAGTGTTTTAATGGAAATCCTGTTCTTTTCAAGAAGAGAAGGTATTCTTTTTCTAAAATCTTTTAGGAAAAAAAAACAAAACCAATAACCCCCACACAGCAGAGCTTGTCAGAGGGAACATCCTGGCTTCTTTCGAGCTATCAAGAGCAGAACCTCATCTGATTTTGGCAGATATATTATTTTGCCCTAAAAGTTAACCAAAGCATTAGAAATAAACACGGCTTACAGGAAGCTAAGCAAATGGGGAGAATTTCTCCAGGCAATGGAATAAATAAGATTTACTCTCTGTCACCCTTTGCTTTTGGTATCCTATGCATAACATAAAATTTAAGGAACCTGAAAGTTTTCAGATAGAAGAAAATGAAGCCAGAGTAACCTAAGAACAGTGGTAGTTTTTGAGGCTGGATGTATATGGCAGAAGTCGCTGAGCCCCAGACGTGCTGTACCTTGGTCAGAAACTTGTCACCCTTTCAGCAGACACGGTGCTGCAGTTTACAGCCCAGCATGTTAGCATAAACTGACATCTATTTTAGTTTATCTTAATATGCTGCTCTGTAAACTGCAGTGGTTCAGAAGCTGAGTCACGAACCAGTTGAGCTGTCCCTGCTGGGAAGACAGTAATCTCTGGAGGGGTGGTAAGGCAGACAACTGGGGCCAGTACCAGTTTCAGCACTGTTGTCTTAATCCACTGTTGTGTATATCAACAAGTGAGTTACAGCAAAAAATTCTGAGAAAGCCTCGTTACTGACTCACCACAGGAAAGAACTGCTTCACAGTACAGACTTAGTTCCTCCACAACTGTCATTACTTTGCAGATGAAATCAGTTGAAGTCATTTTTCAATTGGTTAAAAAAATAACGTGGGTTGGGTTTTGTTTGTTCTTGTAAAAAGCAGCTTTGTGAAAGCAGTAGTAATAGGGGACTGCTGTCATAGCTTGGAGCTGGTTAGGTGGACAACTGGGCTTTTAACACACCCTCTTGCAATTTGGCTATTCTGTGACCTTTCCCAGGAACTGAACCTGTTTGTCACAAGGCCGACTCTCAGCAGATTCTGGAACTGTATAAATATGGAATGTGTAAGGGCTCAACTGCTCCACGGTGCATCAATTTAAACAGCAATCTGTGCAATCAGATCAACTGATAGAAGTGTGTGAGCTAACTAAAAAAGAAATATAAGAATCACTTAAAGAAGACCTGAGGAAAAGTAACATATCTTAAGATATCTCAGTTTAAAATACATTACTGAGGTAATTGGCCTCTCTGCAATAACAACTTAGTGTTGGTAATATAGTAATTGGCTAATAATAATATCTTAGTATTGGTAATGGTGATGGAAGAAAAGTCAGACTTCACAGCACATCTGGAATACGAAAATTCAGAAAAAAATACCATCCTAATTTGTATAGCTGTCTGTATATGTGACATTCTAAAGGATTAAAAATGAATTTTAAACAATTATATATTAGTTAAAGATAACCTTAAGTTTGCATTTCTTTATAAATTCTGCTGATGCTTCTTGAGTCCCTGTTAAGATGCAGTTTACATTACAGCTTTTTCATGAAGAATATGTGAAAAGATCTTTAAAAAATGTTCAGCTGAATGACTTTTCTTAGCTGTCAGAATGCACATTTTATATTGGACTCATTTAGGCCTGGTAATATTGCTGAGATTTAGTAGCTGAGAACACTGACACAACCTCAGATGACCAGATTCATTTTCATTCTATAGTTTTCAGCTGTCATGATATCCATGGTGTCTAAGAGCAGTAATATGGCTTCTCATGGTCAGTGTAACATGAGTTGAATTTTAACCATTAATTTGAACTTGATCAAATCTGAGCAAGGCACAGTGTGTATGTTAAAAATATATTACACAGTGCGTGTGTTAAAACTGTATTTAGTGAAGGATTGCAATGATCTGTGATTCCTCTGATTAATATTAAGTACGTATCATTCCCTTGTATTTCAGTGTTCAAAAGAATCCTGAAACAAAAGAAATAAGCATTACTTCTACTGTCTTCAGAGTGTCTGCATATGTAAGTATTAATTTTTGGCTGGAAGAAGATGCATAACTTAAAAATACTGAATTTATATTTACACATATTACATTTTAAGGAGTTGTTTTTCCATAGCTGTTTTTTTGGTTTTGTTTTTTAATTCTTGAACTCTGTGCCTGATCTCATCCTGCTTGCACTCTTGAATAACTCTTCATCAATAATCACCAGCTCTCTAAAAATAGGTTTACTGGATTACCATTCAAGTCATAAGAGTCATCCAGAAACTGGTTTATAAAAAAAATATATTTATTTAGGACTGAGTAATTCTATTTTTAGATCTACTTGAGATAGAAATAAGGATTAATAAGGATTACTCGTGACTTTGTATGGTTCTGTTTTTAGAAATGTTTCTAGAGCTGTATGAGTAGCCTGTACTGCAACTGTTTCTGTAAAGACTGCAAGGAAATCTAGTGTACAAAAGGTTGAGGACAGCGAGATGTCTACTAACCTCTCTTCCTCTCTGTAGACAAGTCTCACTCCTTTCTGTTTCTCTTGCAAAATCATCACGATTGCCATCACAACAAATTTGAGAACTGGTTGCATGTTTACTAGATTCAGCATATCCGTAATTTAATTGTTACTACTCCAAAGGCTCCTTGAGTAACCAGAATACGTAACCAGATAATGTTCCCACATCCAAAAGAAATAGCTGATGTCATTTCAGACTGCACAGACTTCCCTTTGGCTTACCAATAGCCCAGTTATTCATTTGTGGGTCATCGTCTTTTAAGTACTGTGTGTAATTCAAAAAGGTTTCTGAAATGTTTTCTACAAATAGGCACTTTACTTATGGATCACAATTCATCTTGCTACCAGGCTGCAGGCTTCAGTAAAAAAAAATACCATAAAAAACCCAAACTCTGATATTTTATTACTGCTTTTCTCCCATTTGCTTGGCAAATGCATTGATGTGTGCTTTACATACTCCTGTATTTTGGTAGATATTTAGATATTTAAGAGCTTCTTTAGCTGTATTTGCCATGCATCAAATATCATCAGCATTAAAAAAAAAAAATAAATGCAACCTTCAGCAACATTTTGAAAACAAAATGGACGGGCAAAAGAAAACCCAGGATAAATACAGAGCATGACACCCTCCCATAGGGGAAAATTTGGCTTTTACTGCGTATTCTGTAAACTTGTGAGGTGGAAGAGCACTTGGAAACTCTGCTTTCCACTAAAGAAATCCTGAAGAATCTTCCCTCAGAACAAAAGAAGTCCTAGACAAGCAGCTCTGGGCTAGAACTCTTTGGTAGTTCTGTGATCCCAAACTCCTAAAACTCTACTTGGAAATTCCAGGCAGGGTACCTACCAGAACACAGTTTTGTGTGGTTCTGAGGAAAACATTCACTCAAGATGACCTATTTCTGCAGTAGATAATTTACAGCTATTTTGTCAAATGAACTCAGAATCTGAGGTGGGATCATTTTAATGCTGAGGTAACAGTTTACAAACCTTATTCTCATGGTTTGCATCTGAAAGAAATGGGTGTAACCTCTTAGCCTGACATAAAAGAAAGCTGTTCTGCTAAAAGTGAGCTGAACAGCAGCCAGAAGTTAGAAGTGTCCAAACTGATCTTTGCAAACTGAATTAATAAATGGACAAATAAATACACTTCATTTGTTTGCAGAAATGCAAGTGGAATCAGAAATTAAGTATTTTATATGATGTCATCTTGACAGCATCGCTTTCCTTTTATTTGGTTTTTACATTGTGGCCAGTAAGCCCTTCTTTAGGAAACTGTCTAAAAAAAGAACACCACTAAAATTGGGTAATACAGAGGTTGAACCAGCTGTCAACAATATTGTATGAACATTGTGAGTCATGCCTCCTTTTCAACAAGTCTGTGTCCATAGATACAGAACTGGGTAGTGTGATCGTATCAAAAACAGTGATGGAAACTGATGATGAAAGGAGTATGGCATGGTTAAAAGCAGTTTAGAACAGAGTAGTCGGATCTCAATATTTCAGAGTGGTAGGGTGTAGTTATGAATGTCTGTAGATCTGTTTAGCATCAAAACTTTGTAGAACCGATCATCATGGGAGAAATACTTTGAATCTTGTGAGCAAACACTAGCAAGAGTGAGTAAGCTCTGGTGCTGGCATAAAATGAAACTGTCTTATAGCTGAAGTATTTGGATGCAAATTTCTTTACCTGAACCCCAACTGTAGCGGTGCTGGGAATCCGTGTGATAAATGGCTCCTTCAACACTTCTTTTAAACTGACGGTTAAGCGGTGCTGTTCTGAGATGCTCAGCAATATCCTTATTTCAGCTTTATGCTGCACGTTTCAGCCATCTGCAGATTACCTGTATGCCTACGAATTAAAAACAAAAAGATCCTAGTCTGTATCAGTAAATCAGCTATTACATCCACTGCATGTCTGAACCAAACTGCAGATTGAATTGGGATGACTCTTAGTCCACGTACACCTACCCCTTCCTATAATGATCAGAGTAACGCTAGTATGTTCTAGTGCTGTTACACTCAAGTCTTTTAGGTGCTTTTTCTTGTTGTTTCTTTGTTTTAAATAGCCCCCTAACTAACTAGGACAGATTTAATAACTTGATTAGATTATTTTCCTCATCCCAGGTATGTTATATTCTGGAATTTCCTGAAAGCTGGTGAGGGGTCTGGAGCACAGGGCTTAAGGGGAGCGGCTGAAGGAGCTGGGAATGTTCAGCCTGGAGAAGAGGAGGCTCAGGGGAGACCTCACTGCTCTCTGTAACTACCTGAAGGGAGGTTGCAGTGAGCTGGGGGTCAGCCTCTTCTCTTGTGTAACTGTGATAGAACTAGAGGGAATGGTTTCAAGCTGTGCCAGGGGAGATTCAGGCTGGATGTTAGGAAATGCTACTTTTCTAAAAGAGTGGTCAGGCATTGCAGTGGGCTGCCCAGGGAGGTGGTGGAGTCACCGACCCTGGAGGTGTTCAAGGAACGTCTGGATTTTGTGTTGAGGGACATGGTGCAGTGAGAACTATTGGTGATATATGGATGGTTGGACTGGGTGATCTTGTAGGTCTTTTCCAACTTTGGTGATTCTGTGAAATACCATCAGAACTTAATTATTTTTGTTCTTAAGTTGATGTGTAAACTTCCGATGCGCAGCTGCTGCCTTTAAACAATAAAAAATGGAGTGGAGATTGATTGATTCAGCAAGGACTGCTAATTGGGATCTGCAGAAGCAATACAAATAAGTGTAACTAGCAGTTGTATCCCAGTGTCAGTGTTCTGAGTTACGTCTGTTTTGTGCATGAGCTGAGGTCACTTTTGGGTTACACTCCAAGGCACTGTGATGCTGAATGATGTTATGTCTTAAAGCTTGCTCTCTTTACTGCAATAGAGAATACAGTATCTGATACACACGGATCCCCATAAAACATCTATAAAGAGTTAGGTGTCTAAACCTGACAGCTATGGATCTTGTGTGCTGGGTTCTTTAAAAATAGAATGCTATTTTTAGCTGGCAGCATTTGCCTACCATCAGAAAATGCTGTGAATACACATCTCAAATCTCTACCTGTCTTCAACAATGCTTTTATGGTGGTGCTTATCTTAAGATTTACGGTCTTGAATAATCACTCAAAGGAAGACATCACAGCGTATAGCAGGGGTTTCATCCTCTGAAATAACAGGAGCAAAATTGGGGTGCCTGCAACAGCTACTGGATACACTTCACAGAAGGTCCTGGAAGCAGAAATCAGAACCCAAATCTTTTCCTTCTGAGCTGACAGTGATAAACAAAGGGAAGGTTGCAACTTTCCTGATTCTTTAGTCCAAAAAGGTGTTGTGGGGCAGGAGGAAACCATATTGTGTTTTCAGAGACATGATGTGTGAGCTACACATCTCTTGATCTTTTGGCTGCTCAATCGCCACACTGAATGCATGAAAACCCAACCAACTGAACCTCCAAACAATCCCCTCAGGGTCCTGGGCTGTGCTGTGTGTTGGGCTGTGCTGCCGGGGAAGCCGGGCAGCAGAAGTGGGTGCTGACCTGTGGACCCACTGCAGCCTGCTGTCAGCTGAAGGAGTTCTTCCAGAATTGGGTTCAGAGCAGGGTGTCCAGGTTCTCCTCGCTTACTTTGTGAGCAATGGCACACAAACTGCTTTCAGTAACAGCTCGGAGACATTCAAAGCATTACAGAGGGGTTTTCCTTAAGTGCCAAGTGAAAAACAATCATTGTTAGAAGGGCTTTATGTGTTAATATGCAAACCTATGTTTTGTATTTTAATGGTATATGATGGGATCTTTGTGTATTTAATCAGCTGGACTTTAGGCTCCAATCCTACGCTTATGTGCTTAATTCTACGTTTTGTATTAACATCGCGTTCATCACAAGGTTATAAAGTTATCGAGGCTGATGATCTGCATTTTGTACTGTGAGTATCGTAACGGAGACAAAAAGCTACTGCCATAAACCACAGCGTTCCTTCCATTGCGCCGTAAGTCGTCGGAGTTGAGCATAAAGCTGCATCGCACTCCGGTTTCACGGACTCTCCCGGCGGGACCCACGCTGTACGTAACGCCGCCGCTTTTTCCCTCCCCTCAGGACGGCAGCGGCCTGTGCTACCCGTCGCGCACAGCCCACGCCCAGACCTTCTGCTATCTGCTGCTGGACCCGGCCCGGCGCCACGTGCACGCGCTGTACCACCGCTTCGGGGGCGGCGCGCCCTGAGCTCTGCGCGGCGGGCGGTGACAGAAGGCTTCGCGCAAGGCGCGTGTCAGGCACGGCCCTCGCTGCTGTTTTCCTGGGGTTTGACCCGCCTGCGTCTTTCCTTACTTTTTCCCGAGTTTTGGCCAATCTAATAAAAGTAACTTCTCCAGATGTGGCAGCGCGCGCGTCCCTTCCAGCTGCGGGGCCGCTCCCCCGCCCCGCCGCCAGGTGAGGCCGAAGCCCGGCGCCTCGCCGCCTCGCTCCCGCGGGCGGCGTCGCGCTCCCCCGTTCTCCTCCCCCCCCATCTCCCACAGAGGGGGGCTGTCCCCTTCCGGGGCGGCGGGGGAGGGGAGCGTCGCAGCTCTTCCCCACCCCCTCGGCGGGAGCTTGGAAGTTGGGAGAGAAGTTAGGGAGAAATAAAAGTTGTGGTTGGCGGCGCGCCTCCACGGCCGGGAAGGGCGGGCGGGCGGCAGAAGGGAGACGGGGCGGGCGGGCGCGCGGAGAGCGGCGCTGTGCCGGCGGGACGAGCCCGGCCGCAAGGAGACCGCGAGCCGCGCGCCGTGAGAAGAGGGGGGCCGGACGGCTCCCCGTGCTCCGCGGCGCCCGGTGGGCGGGAGGCGGTGCGGGCGGGCGCGAGCAGGAGGGCCGCGCGGCGCAGGGCCGTCTCGGTCGGATACGGTGCGGGCGGGCTCAGAAGGGGCGGAGTCGGCCGCCGAGAGCGATTCGGGCGGGCGTAACTGCGAACTTTTGTTTGGAGTGTTGCGCGAGTTAGTTTCCGCCGCCGGGACGGAGGCGCCGGCCGGGCTGGGCCGGGCTCGGGGCAGCGCCGCGCGGTCGGAGCCGTTTCGCCCGTCCCCGCCGAGGGGTAGGAAGAGCCGGGGACGGCGGGACGAGCCGTGGCGCGGGGCATGCGGGGCCGGCCCCGCGCGCTCTGAGCCGCCGAGCCCCGCGAGGAAGCGCCGGGGGGTCCCGTCGCAGCCATGGATCCCGGGCAGCCCCAGCCGCAGCAGCCGCCGCAGGCGGCGCAGCCCCCGGCCCCGCAGCAGGCGGCCCCGCAGCCCCCGGGCGCGGTGTCGGGAGCTCCGGGAGGCGCCGCGCAGCCGCCGGGCGCGGGCCCCCCTCCGGCGGGGCACCAGATCGTCCATGTGCGGGGCGATTCCGAGACCGACCTGGAGGCGCTCTTCAACGCCGTGATGAACCCCAAGGGCGCCAACGTGCCGCACACGCTGCCCATGCGGCTCCGCAAGCTGCCCGACTCCTTCTTCAAGCCGCCCGAGCCCAAGGCTCACTCCCGCCAGGTAAGGGGGGGCGGCCGGCCCGGCGTTGCGCCGCGATCTCCGATCTCCCTCCTCCCTCTTTCCCTCCCTCCTTCCCTCCGCGCCGCCGCCGGGCTCCTCCCGTGAGTGAGTGAGTGAGTGTGAGTGTGTGTGTGAGTGTTTGGGGGGGCAGGGAATCGGGGCAGGGAAGGGGCCGGGGCGGGAATCCGCCCTCAGTGCGGGCGGGGGGCGCGGGCCGGCTGCGCGCTGCCTTCCTCCGCCTCCTCCTCCTCCTCCTCTCCCCGCTCCCCCCGCCCCTCCGAGGGGCCACCGTCCCGGCCCGGGCTCCGGGCGGCCCTCGGGCTCCGCATCCGCTCCTCGGCCCGGCCGGGGGGAAAGGCGCGGGGAGGCCTCGGAGCGGTGCGGGGAGCGCCGCGATGGAGGGCTCCGATCCGCGCTGCGGGACGGCCCGCCGGCGGGGGGTGTCGTGAGGCCTTGCCAAACTTTTTTTTTTTTTCCCCAAGCAATATGGATGTGGCTCTTCCACCATTTCGTCGCCGCGCTGTGTCGGCTCCGGCCGCGGGGCTCCCGCGTGCCCCGCGATGAGGGCAGCGGCTCTCCGCCGCCGTTCCCCGGTGCCGCTCAGCCGTAACTGCGAAGTAAAGACCTTCTTTCTGAGCTGCAAAGTCGGTTTTGTTGTCGGCCCCTTGGCGCTGTCTGTGCAGCCGGAGCGAAACTCGCTCCGTGTCGCGGCGCCCGCTTCGCGAAGGCCTTCGCTATTGCTGCGATCGCGGCTCCGCTCCCGGCGCTTCGTGCCGCGGCACGGGTTAATTTATTTCCCACCTACTCGAAAAGCAGCCCGGCCTTCGCACCGTGAGACCGGAGGAGGAATAGCAGGGGTGGGGCTGAGCTGCTCCTGTGGTTTTTTTCCTCGCTTCTGAGCTGCAGACTTCCTAATTGCACTCTGAATCCAACAGTGAACAGGGTTCCTTCAGATTGCTCTCGTTGGTGTGAGTTGTATCGCAGTTCGGCTATGCAGAAGTGTAGGCTGCACATGTTAGGCTGCTACTTGTTGCTGTGTCTTAGTAAACACAGTATCTACCTGCAGTTAAATAAGTATCATGTTCAGAAAACATTTAATTTTCATGCAGATGTTGCACTTCTACTTTTGGCTCCGCATTCTCTGTGTGTGCTCCTTCCTTGAGTTCTCATCCCACTCGGGAGTTCCAACAGTGCAACCTTGAGGTCCAGCTGAAGGCAGAGAACCATTACTCCATTGTTGGCCATCTTTTGATAGTTCCAGTTCTCCCTTTTTGTTCATGTGTGACATAAAATATTGTTAATCAGGAAAGGACTTCCTACTTCTCTTTTTCTCAAGAATTAAAGCTCCTCAAATTCCATACAGTTGCATCTCTTACACTGTGCTTAAATGTAAAAGTAAGCTTGCTTGCTCCAATGTAAAAAATGTTGTGTTCACATACAGATGTGTCAAAATATCCCCATAGGAGAGTGTAAGTGGGGCCTCATATGGTGCAATACCGGCATGGAGAGGTGTGGCTGGACTGCTGTGTGCATCTTAGTGCAGGTGGCCGTGTTGTTCTGGGATATCTATGAGATTTAATTAACTGATAAATACACAAAAAAGGATTTAAACCCAGCTTTTAGGTCTGCTTTGTCTTTTTGGCTTTGGACATATATTTCCTAATGCCAAAGAAGCTCTCATGCTTCAGTCTGGCAGTTCTGTGAATGGTCTCTGAGTCACTTCTGATTGACTGGTCAAACAGTTTGCGGAAGCTTTCTTTAGATAAAGCACTGGCAGGCTCTTTGTGAGTGCCCTTAAAGAGCAGTTGGTGTGCAGGTTAGGAAATTCTGCGCTCAGCCTTTTGTAGCTCTGGTGGATGAGTTCAGGAGTTCTCTGTCTCTTGGGGCTCATTGCCATCAACGGACACATCTCTCTTACTTTTCTCTTTGCCCGTTCCTTAAACCCATGCAGAAGGTTTATGTGTGGATGTCCTTGCACCCCACACCCACTTTTCAATAAGGGGATGGAAAATTACCTCCGTCAGCAGAAAGTGATGGTGATGGTGGGTGCAGTCCAGCAATGAGCCACGCAGCGTGCCGTGCTCAGTGTGCTGGCTGTAGGCTGCCTGAAGCCTGCACCAAGGGGCAAGAACTTCAGTTTTCAACACAGAACTTAAAGCAGTTACTGAATACTTACAGTTGATATTTCTTGGCTTGTATGGGGACTTGTCTGATGCAAATTAACCAACTGCAAAATATGCGTAACTTTAGAAAGACCAACTCGGGAATTTCATCTGAAAGATTCCTTGAAAGAGCAGTGCCTTTGGACAGAAATGCAACAGGACAGATGCATTTCTGCTGAAGTACAGAAATCTGAATGGGAATCCTTTCACTCCCGACAGGCCAGCACTGATGCAGGGACAGCAGGAGCCCTGACCCCTCAGCACGTCCGTGCTCATTCCTCTCCAGCATCCCTGCAGCTGGGGGCCGTGTCCCCTGGCACGCTCACACCCTCTGGAGTAGTGACTGGACCTGGAGCGCCGTCTTCTCAGCATCTCCGCCAGTCTTCGTTTGAGATCCCTGATGATGTACCTCTGCCACCGGGCTGGGAGATGGCCAAGACACCATCTGGACAGAGATACTTCCTTAAGTAAGTATACTTTTTTGGTTGTTGTTATTTAAGTATTTGAATTTTTCTTTGAAATACAAGTCTTAAAAACAACCTCCTGATTTTTAGTAGGAGAAAAGATCCTACCACTTAGGAATTCTCCCATATCAGTTCTACTCTGTCTGGAAATTGTGTGATGCTCAATGAGTGTTTATCCCATCATAATCTTGGTTGAAGAATGTTGTCTGTTACATTGTGCACTGAAAACGAGTGAAATGCATGTAGAGATTTTTGAACAACGTGACTCTTCTACTTGCTGGATCTTGCCAGCGTTCTCATTTGGGTCAAAATACATTATACCTTATTTTTATGTTACAGATGTAAAGCTGTAATAAAGTAACTTTAGACTCTGTTGTGGCGGGAACATGTCAGGACTTCTTATTTTATCACTACGTGCAGTTGTGTAAATGCAGAGTCAAAACATTTTTGCCTACTCTATACTCATGAGGACATGAACGTATGTGTTTGATAACAGTATTTGGGTCTGTAACTCTGAACCCATCTGCCTTCCTTGCAGTGAAATGGGAATTGCAGAACTTCTAACGCTGTTTCTTCTTCTGGCTGTGGCTTTTTTGTGCAGTGAAATCAGTACCACCTTCTGTAGAACAGAGGAGAGATGGCATATGCCAGCCACGTGGCAGCCAGACCATTGGGGAGCTTTGGGTTTTCTTTCCATCCCTAGAACAGCAGAAGCTTGTCCTTCATTCTGAAAGCGTGCCCACCAGAACATGTGATTGGCCTTCAGATACTTTGACTGTATTTTGAATATTTTATTGAACTGGAAGGCTCTAAATAATCCATTGTGTGTCGTTTCCAGGGCTGGGAGAGGGGAGAGGCAGCACAGTGTGTTATTTACGTAAAACTTGCTTCTGCCAAATAAAATATCTGTATTCCTACCTTTCTTGCTAAAGCTATCACTGATACAAACTCAGATACTTCAATCAAATGTTGCTTTTAAAACTGATCTGTTGCCTTCAGTAAAAATGGACACTGTAGAATTTCTTAAAACTCTTTCTTATTCCTACAGTGGTGTTTTCATAAGGAGAAATTAATATCACTTATCAGAACCCAAACTGAGTTGCAGCAGTTGTCAAATTGTTTGAGCCTTAATGCCAATTTTTGAAAACAATAATTTTGTGTTAGAAAAGTAAAAATGAGAATTGCAAAGTTGTCAATGATGTGATGCCTTCTTTGCTAGACTTTAACAAATCAGTGTGTTCCAGAATGCATTCTTCAGTGGGCACAAGTAGAATTTTGGGAACAATGCAAGTTTGTGCCATTCGAGATTGGTAGCTGGTTGGGCCTTGAGGAAAGCACAGGCTGAGTTCTTCAGTGAAAAGCAGGTTTAGTTGTTTTGACTGTGCTGGTGAAAACTCTTTAAGAGCAGCTTACCAGTCACGAAAGCAGTTGTTTTCAAGTTTGCTGTCACAATTGTTTCTGATAACATTTTTTTAAAAAGTAGAGCAATTTGAGAGGTGCAAAGTGTCTTTAAGTAAAAAGTTGATTTTGTTGTTGATTTTTTTTTTTTTTTAATTGTGGCTATTGAAGTGAAATTAGTGACAGTTTTGATCTTGGAAAGCTTTTCTGCAGTTTCATTATTACCACCAAAAAATCTTTTCCTTTTTTTTGCAAGCTTTTTTTGTCCTCTCTTGGTGTTCTGGTATCCATTTCAAAGGATCAGGTTTCAACAAGAACAATAAAGAGCCTGAGACTGGAAAGTACACACAAGTCTGGCAAACTCATCTGCATGAGCAAGATCGTTTGTTCTCAATCAGACATCCAAAGTAAATGATTGAAAGAGCTGCTAGCTGTGAAGGATGTGTCTTGAAGGGGAAAGGAGTGGAAACAAACCAGGTTGTTAGGAGTGAAAATAAAGGCTGTACTTTCTGAACCTCTCCCTGCTGGGTCACATGCTGACCTTGGAGATTTTAAACAGCTTAATGGGCTGTTTTCTTTTGGCTTTCCTTGGGTGATGCTGTGGTATGGGAGAGTCTAATGAGGACAGTTCTGAAGACTGTTACGTTCTGTTCGCCAAGCGTTGTTGCCCCTAAAAGGTCGTTCAGTGCTGTCTGCAGGTGAGATCCCCTAACTTCATTGGAGTCCGTTAAGATTTGTATAAAAGAAAAATAACAAAGCAAATGTTTTGCTAGCATTCGATTTTTAAGAAGTTCAAAGAAATTTTAAGTAGAAAGTTTATGTTTCAGGAGTCTTTTTTTCAAGTGTTGAGTGACAAGTTCTGTCTCAAGTGTGCAAACCTGTTACAATCATGTCTCGTCTGGTTGTGCCTTAAGCTTCTGCTCAGAGCACGAGGACTGAAATTCCTGAAGCTGAATAAATGTGATGTGATTCCTTCTACCATATGCTGATTTTTCAGCCTCTTCCAAGCATTCAGCTGCGTTGCTCTTTGTTTCCATTTGTTCTGTAGCCACTGTGTGAACAGTCTGGTAATCAAGCTCTAGAAAGATCTTTGCAGAATAGGTAATGGTAATAGATTTTTTCCAGATGTCAGTAGGCCTTATGGTTATAGTTATCATAATATGCTATATTGCAAATAGAATAATGTAAAACTGAGAATTGTACTGCAAAGATTTTAGTCACTTCCACTAATCAGTGGGTCAAAGTGGATGCCCCATCCCTAGAGGCTTTCAGAGCCAGGCTGGATGTGGCTCTGGGCAGCCTGATCTGGTGAAATAATAGTAGGAATGGGGAAGAAAATAGCTGTTTGGCCAAATAACTGTGTATGTGTGTGTAGGTAGGATACACAACACACACATTAGTACATGTTAAAGTAGGGTGAGAGTTGTAGTATAGGATCTGGGAAGTCAGTCTGTCATCCAGACAAATAAACCCCGTTATGTCCGAATGCTCAGCATAAGATTTGCCGGAATTCCAGTCCTCAGTGCTCATCTCATTGTTATGACAGCAACTCTTGAGTATAATTTTCCGTTGGTGGAAATGCAGATTTTGGTAAAACTATCCTTATTTTTTTTTAAACTGAAACTGCTGCTTACACAGAACTGATCAGTTGAGACTCGCCTGGTTTGTGAGCGGTCACATCTGAGTCATCTCAGCATTGCAGTGCAGTACACTTCAGCCCATTCTTAAGCATGCCATAAAGGAGGCTTGCTTGGTTTCTGTGGCGATGTCAACTGCATTGCTTTTTAACCACTTCCTGCTCGCCAGCTGCTGGTTGACATTTCGGTGAACTACAGAGGAAGATAGCGGGTCACTCTAGGCAAAAGATAACGTGCTGGGGGAAACACAGACAGCAACTTCCAGAAAGAAGAAATCTGGGTATGTTCAGGTTCAGAATTACTGTTGTATAGTTTTAACTTAGTGTGATGCTTTCGATTCTTACAAAGGTTGTGCAACGCTTTGCATTTCGTAGTGCGAAGGAAAGTTAACTGATTGTCCAGCAAACAAGTCTTGTAATTACTTTTCCTACAGGAAGTAGTTCTTGCAAGCAGTTTATCAACAACTTCCTATTTTTTTTCTGTGAAGTGTTGAATGACTTCCTGAGGGAGGCCAAGGTGGTTTTCATTAGTATCTGTGGGTGTGATGGAGGTGTTTACCCATCTGGCAGAAGCCTTGGAAATAGATGGTTGTTACACATTTCTCACCTGCTTCATACAGAGGCATGGCTGGGTGGAGCCAAGCAGAATGGTTTTGAGATAGCAAGGAGGTTTGTTGATAACTTGTTTTCTTTCTTTAACTCGTGGGACCCCAAGTATACACGAGTGTTTTGTCCTACATGAGAAGTAACCAGCAGTGCTGTTACATTTCTTTCACATCTCTATTTTTGTTCCTATCTGGAGCCAGCCGTGACAGCTGTACCATCTGCGCCTTTCTTCCTGCTCTTCCTCAGCTCACCAGACTAATCTTCTTCATCCAGGGCAGAAAATCTCTACTGGAATTGTTGCTGCCACACTTGTGCATTTTACCGAGCACCAATGTGTGCGTGTTTGGAATCATCAGTTACTGGGAGCTCTCGTGTTTATGGCTCTGCGGTTCAAATTAGTTAGACAGTAAAAGAGCTGTACTGTTGGAAACCAAAGCCGCAACCACTGCTTTTGATGAGTTTGACTAATTTTTGTACTTTTTAGCTTAAAAAGAAGTTGAAGGCTTTTGCTGTTTGCTGAATGTCAAAGTAATTTTATTTTGGTATTGGTGGATTACGAAAACATTCAGGTCATTGACTGACAAAAAAAAAAATGAATCCAAGAGATTTGAGGAAAATAGTCACTGCCACTTTCAAACATAGCTAAAGAAGAGAGATATGAGCTAAAAGGCTTTTAAAGTAGTGCAGAATGTGGTCTGTTGGCTTTTTTTGACAATTTTTAGATTTTTGGTCTTGGAACATCAGTACTAAGTGCATATTTTTCCTTCTGCCTGTTACTTGAGTTCTTAAATCTGTTCTTTGAGAGAACCACGATACTAACTATTCTGAACACGTACTGGAGATTTCTGTATCTTTAAAAGGGAGAAAGAAGAAGGGCAAACCTTCCTGATTAGTGTTAATACTGCGACTGGGAGGAGGATGAAAGTGCACCTCCAGTTCAGCCAGTTCAGAGAACGCGCAGGCAGCTTAGTGGGTGGGCATCAGTGAAAGGCATGGCCCACAGTGCTTTTCTTGTGCTTGGCTTTGTTTTGCTTAAGAAAAATTGCAGATGTACTGCATGATAGTATCTTTGCATTCAGTACCCTTCCATACAAGATAATTTCATAAGACTGTTCCAAAAACAGTTTTAATAAACTGTTGTGATTTTATGTAAACAGAAAACGTACTCTGTGGTTTTCACTAATATATTTTTCTTTTATTTATAAGTGTATCAATATTAATCATGCTCAGAAGAAAACAGAACTGGAGAGAAATACAGAATTTGTGGCAGCTGTAAGATAACAATTAAAGTTTCTGAGGAATTTTTTTAATTGTCTGCTGTTCTGTACTCTTCTTCCTCCCTCAGGTTTTGCCTCTCAGTAGT